AGTAATCCTCTCATACCTGCTAATTGGTGGACTTGAGATGCATTTCTTCTAGCTTCCAAAAAGGACATTATATAGATTGGATTAAAATGATCAGTCATCTTGAAATTTGGATTTATTTCTTGTCTCAAATATTTACTTATAGCGTACCATATCTCAATTGTTTGGTGTAATTTTTCTATTGCGTGCACATCCCCAAAATGGTGGTACTTTTCCAAAGTCAAACTATATATATATAAAAGAGGCTCTAAACAATCGGGCACACCTCAAAAAGAAAAAATTTATCTAAGTGCAATGCTCTAAACAATCAAATTAGAGCGCACCTCAAAATTTTCACTAGAAGAGGTTGTTTTGATACCCAAAAGCGTCAAATTGATCATCTCGACCTCAAGATGCATGGACATGAAAAAAAAATAGATTTTAAGTTTTGAAATAGTGCATCTTGTAATGCATTTTTGAACTGTCAATTTTCAAGTTTTCATAGATGTGCTCGATTTTCACTATTTTTTAAACTTTGAATTTTATAATTAAAGATGAAAATATATTTTAAAGCTATCACAAATCTTTTCAATATTGAAACTACATTTCTCGACATTATTTGAAGGTGCACTTTACTTTGATTGATTAGAGCCTAGACCTTCTAGAAACCGCACCCCCTCAAAAATCCACTAAAAAAGTGTTTTGAAGCTCAAAATTCCTCAAATTGATCATCATGACCTCAAGATGAATAGAATTGAGAAAAAATGAATTTCAAGTCTTGAAAATAGTGCATCTTGTTATGCATTTTCGGACCATCAACTTTCAAGCTGTTTATGGATATGCTTGATCTGTACTACTTTTGAAGTTTTAAAATTTTATAATTAGAGATAAAAACAAGTTTTCAGGCCATCACAAAGATTCACATTATTGAAACAGCATCTTTCGATACTATTTAAAAGTGTGCTTTACTTTGATTGTTTAGAGCCTCAGCCCTATACAAACCACACCATATATATATATATATATATATATATATATATATATAGTACGGTCGGTCGTACGTCGTACCGTACCGACCGGACCGGACTCGACGCGTACGACTACGTTACGGTTACGGTACCGACCGACCGACCGAACTA